GAGGTGTCTGTGATTTAGAGGCAAAGGAAAACGTTTAGGCATGCAAAAAAGTGCAGTTGAATCTTTACATGATATATGGAAGGAAAGGGAGGGGGTATTTACAGATTCCATTCCTTCACTTAACTACAGTAGGAGAAGTAAATGGAAAAAAAACACATTGACATTCCAAAAAATTGAAAACCTTTTCATGGTGGAATATTCTAAAATCGATTGACTTCAGAATGATCCCATTTCAAGATTAAACCACTTTGAGAATGTTTGGAGTGGCCTTTGGAGTTGTGTAGAACATTTTGTAACAAAATGCTTAGCGTAACTCTAATCTTTACAATAAGAGCACAAAATAAACTCTTATTACTTACCATTGATACTAATGATATGTTAATATTACAAGTAGTCCTTGATGTACGACCACAGTTGAGCCCAACATTTCTGTTGCTAAGCGAGACAGTTTTAAGTGAATTTTGCCCCACTTTATGACCTTCCTTGCCACAGGTGCAGTGTATCACTGCAGTTATTAAGTCAGCATCATGGTTGTCAGAAGGTCACAAAAAGTGAGCACATGACTCTGGGACACTGCAACCATCATAAATACATACCAGTTGCCAAGCGTCCGAATTTTGATCACTTGACCAGGGGGATGCTGCAATGGTCGTAAGTGTGAAAAACGGTCATAAATCACTTTTTTTCAGTGCTGTTACAAATCTCACTGGTCACTAAATGAATGGCTGTAAGTCAAGGATTACCTGTATACTAAGAGAATTGAACTTCTTATATCTTATCAGTATTTGTAAAATACACTCCTAGAAAAGGTTTTCTTTCCCCAGTAAGAACTGCAGCAAATTTGTGATCGATTTTACAGTATGGGCAAAAGCGTCCAGTTACTTCTGTTTGTTCTTTTGTTTACTTGATAGAACATACTTAATAACTTCATTGGAGAATCCAACAAATTTATTTTTGAATTGTCTTTCCTTCTCCATTCCACTATTCCAGGAGAAAAACCTTTCACTTGTAGCTGGGAAGGTTGCGATAAAAAATTTGCCCGTTCTGATGAGCTTTCTCGGCATCGCAGAACCCACACAGGGGAGAAGAAGTTTGCCTGCCCAGTCTGCGACCGCCGTTTTATGCGTAGCGATCACCTGACAAAACATGCACGTCGTCACATGACCAAGAAGGTGCCCAGCTGGCAAACAGAAGTTGGCAAACTAAATCGGATTGCAGCTCTAGAGAAGCCAAGGAATGAGAATGCTCTGAGCATGCTCCTCCCAATGTTATCGCCAGGGTAGTGGGCCAGCTGGCCAAAACACACATTTTCTGATGAACTTTATTGTTCCCAAAATTACTGCTTTTACTGATTTTTAACTTAATTTCTACAAGTTATGCTTTCCTGTTGGGGAGGGTGGGAAAGTATTTTTCTCTTCCTCTTTTTCTACCTTCTTTCCCTGCTTCAGTGTTTGTCCTACTTAATGTTACATTATCTTTTTTCCCTTTTCATTCTTCCAAGATTTTGGGAGAATCACCAGCACTTCAGAAAAAGAAAATATATTTAAGGGTGGGGTGGGATAGAATATTAGCAAGGACTATTCTTTGAAAATTTATCTTTACTTGAGTAAGAATAATTAATAGAAAGTGAAGCAGGCTGACTTGGTTGTTTTCAGTTTTACACTAGTTTTCTGTCTACTTTGTACAAATGTAGCTGCTATAGCCTGATTCTGCATTTATCCTCTGAAGCAGTGGTATGGGAGATCGAAACTACCTCTCAGAAACTGTTCTCCTTGGTGTGAATACAATCCAAACTGATTATCAACTTGGGTCTGAACTTCGATTTCATACGTGAGGCAATCTGCTTTAGGATTGCCTGCCATATCAGTTACCGTTTGGAGCGCTCTATCTGGAGATTGATGCCTAGAGATTGTATTTAAAGTTGGCTTATTCAGCTAGCTCAGGATTCACTTTGTTGTGACACCAACCATGTGCATCAAAGCTGAAAAGACCTGGCTTTCAGTGGCACTGAGTTAATTTCCCCCTGTTCATTATTCTATACTGCCCAAGGTTTGCTGTTCCATGTATGTGTTAGCAAAACTTGTTGGCATGCGAACAGAACTGTGGCCATGGATATCAGCTGTTTAAATATGGGTTTAATATGTGAATCAACTCACAACAAAAGCAGATACTTAATACAAAATTTCAGGACACCTGCTACATCACAATGAATGTCTTGAATAGCATAAACACAATGATAGTGGCTATTAAAAGTTTGGACATACTATGAAGGAAACAGTGACTTGTGATAATACCTACTTCTTCATTATAATTGTTAATACTTTAATTATTGTAATTGAGAAGTAGCCTTTCTTTTAGTATGGCTAACTTAACAGAATTGTGGGCTGCATCTCATCAACAATATAATTCAGTCAGAAACTTGCATTTCCATAAAAGGAGTTAAGTGCATCCTTAAATCTACCTTTTTAAATTTAATAAGTACTAGCCACATAACTTAGTTTGGATTATGCCCTTGGTGTAGCCGTACATAAAAGCAGGAAGGCCAAAGTTAAAAATGTACTCCTGCTTTCACTAGTTTTTTTAATCATCTAAACCAGGAATTGGGAACGTTGGCCCTTTTATGACTTGTGGACTCCCAGAATTCCTGAGCCAGCGGGTTGAAGTCCACAAATCATGGGCTATAGTTCCCCACCTCTGATCTAAACAAACAACTAAAACTTCTCACCACCTCACTGTTGATTGATCAAGAATTTTCACCTAAGCCTTTCAAGGAAGGTCAGCAGAGCAAATGAGGCTGTTTGATTTGCAGAATTCAGGCAGAAGGATTTCTTGATCAAATCCAATATTGGAACTTGTGCAATGGAACTTTCCCTTCTTCTCTACCCCCTGACACTCCCCAAAATCTATTCTGGAGAATCCAGGCCAAGGTCAGGATTCATGGGGTAATTTGTCTCACTGAAAGATGCTATTCTGAGTGTGGGAAAGACACTGGGAGAATTCAGCTGCATGTCTTGCACTAAAGTCTCTTGAGTTGCAGTACTTAATGCTTTTAAAATAAGGGGGAATGGGTGTCACTTGTAGGTTTATGTCAAAGACTTACCTGAAAGTGATAATCCTGTATTTTAAAGCTGCCTTAAAAATTCTTAACCTTGGAGCAAAAATGCTTTAATTTTTCTTTTCTTCTTGTGTTTTGTTCTACAGCACTGTATTAACTGAATGAGTAACTGAAGTAATAGATAATTGTTACTTGTCTTTTGGAGGGTCCTGTGGGAAGACTTATTTGTCATGAGATATCATCTATGATGACATGCCAAATACTGCATCTCAAGCTGAGAAAATTGTTTTTAATGAGTATATGAAAGCATGGTGTATATGTATGGAGTATATCTGACATATCATTAGTATCTTAAACTAAATAGATCTTTTACAATTGCAATATACATTGGTTATTTTTGTTAAGACAAGCTTGCAATATTTTTATTTATTCTGAAGCTATCTGAGATATTTCTGTGGATGATACGAATTTGCTGGAATGAGTGTTTGAAAACTACATTTGCTATATGTTCCAAAATAACACTTAAGTAATATTAATGTTTGGTCAGTTGTTTTATTAGCTTTATTTTGCAACAGCCTGAGACAATCGGGAGGTTATGGTTTTCCTTTCACTTCATCCCAGGGAGCAATTCATGTTAAAAACAGCATGACATCTTCCATTATGGCAGAGAAGGAGAGGGTGAATTTAGGCAAAATTAACATGTTTTGAAAATCTGCTGGACCGTCATTTTAATGATGCCCATTCTAAGTATTTAACTATCTGAATTTGAAGGGATTAGTGTTCATGAAGCAAACCGTATGGATCAGGCATTTCTTTCTCTTAGAACATAGTAGCTCTTGGATAGATGACTTATTTTCAGTTGATGGGAACATTTCATTTTGGCTTGCACTCCCAAATCAAGTGTAAGTAGGCTTCCTTTGAAATGAGATTAAACCAGGTTGTCATGCATATGTAGTCCTCAGCCATATATGATAGTTTGCCTGGTGCTTGAAAGCTTTTGCATTATTGCAATTTGAACTAGTTACTGTAAATGCTAGAACAGAAAGCTGGCTGGCAATGATGGGTCAGTGACTGGGCTGCATTTGATTGGTCACTAGATCTAAGTAGAGGAATATTATAAAAAACTGCACCTCAATGTTTGTGTGTATATATATGTGTATGCGTGTGTTTGGGTGTGTGTGTGTGTGTATGTTTTTTTCTCTTACGCTCATACTACTTGCCATATTTTGAGTTATTGAAGCAAATTGATAAACCTGCAGATCACATAGTTGTTTTCTCCCAATTTATTCTTAATTTTTCATTAACAGAAGAAAAAGAATATCCTCATTAATTTTTATAGCTTGTAAGAATAGACATGTTAGTGGCATAAATTCAGTTCATATAATCAGACCGCAAGTTTGATTAATTTGAAACTACCCTTTTCCCTTTTCTACAATACACAGAGTCCGCTTTTCCCTTTCTGGACAATTTTATGACCTAATTATTGGCTATTTGACTAGGGATTATGGGAACTATCGTTCAATGTAGTAAAATTTTGTGCCTAATATTTTATATGAATAAACCTTATTTGTTACTTTCTGTTCAGCATTTATGGTGAAATCCTTGTTATTTGTGTGAATATACATACAAATACTCTTGTATTTCTTCAAGGGCTGTGTTGTAATTCCTCTTCTAGTAAAGTGGATATTTACATAAAGTTTTGGTTGTATTTTCTCTTCCCTTGTGTGGATAATCTTCTTAATGTGAAACAGCACCGTAAAGGAATAGGAGAGTTAATAGTATCCATTGCTAATGTTAACACTTGGCTAAAGTATAGCATTTAGGTTACAATTCAATGTCCCCTCGAACATAGGAATCTCCAGATATTTCCCCGAGTCAGAGATGGGTTATAAATATGATGGTTCCAGAGGACAGGCATTACTACAAAGAAGCTTCACTTCCAGTATTCTGAAAGATGATATTTTTTAATCAATGGAATCCACAGCACAACAACCCTAACAGATTGAACTTCCTGGAAAGATACCATTATATAAATAATTGTATAATAATAATACTATTGTATTAATAGACATTTTTTCTTATATTTGAACATGAAAGCTACATAGTACATTTTACAAACCTGAAACAACATAACTACTCTCCACTGTTAAAGTCTTATTATATTATCTGAGTATTAACTCAGTCCATCAGCAATACATGAGCAGGAACCATTTAAAGTATATGCTAATATTTCCAACATTTATATTCTGATCTTGCTGAAATGTTTCAGAATCCTGCCAGCATGAATGTTGACAGATTTCTTCTTTTTCCTCCAAAGGGTAGATATACCTTCATAAGACCGATGCGGAAACAAAAAGAAATCAAGAGAATAATGTTAAAAATATAATTAAAAGTCTAAAAAGGGGAAACAGAATAATTTGTGTTTGATTCCAAGGAAACAAAGGTGCTTTGGAGCATGTGTGAGCAAGCACATTGCATGTCAGCAACTCCTCGAATGATGCAAGTACAATAGTCAATTTTGCACTGTACCTTTGGACAGAGAGGTGGTGAGCTTCTTCCAATCAAACAGATTAGATAGCTATTTGCTATTATTTTACACTAAGCAGAGAATTGAGCTAGAGATCTTAAATGGCCCTTCCAAATCATTGAGTCTGAGATGAGATTCACAGAGAGATAACTAGGCAAAGTGACTACAGCACATCAGCCCCTCTGGTGCTCTTTGCATCTACTAAGATACACAAAGCACACTGCACCACTAACATCTTTAGGAACAGAACCTTTTTGTTAACTTCATGCTTCCATTTTGCATGCAGACATCTGATAGGAATGTGATTTAGAAGGAACATTTTTGTCACATATTATCTGTAAGAGGTACTTCAGCCTATGCGATTCTCTGCAAGTGACCAGCAGAGTTTGTTGGCCACTAATCTAAAGTGATCACACAGGAGTAATCTCAGGCAAAATAATTATTGCCATCCTGAGATTTTCTCAAGGATACTTCTATTTAGGCACTGTGGCATTAACCAGTATGGTAAAGATGGGCCATGTGACCCAAAACTTCGGGTGCAGGAGTAATTAAGGTCTTACAGATTTATTGGTAGTATTATTACTATTATTATTAATATTCCGCAGTAAGACCCTATGCAGTAAGACCACCCAAAGTTTACTTTAGTTTCATTAAAATGTGGACAAATGATTGCTCTTTCACTACTTCACACCTCAAGCTTTAGGTGAAGATGAACATTTGTGTATAATTTTTTTCTTTTCCCATAAAGAACAGATTCTCATTTGGCTCCATAGAAAATGTTCAGATAAGACAGTTTCCTGTAGTTGTATCACTCTGGTCAGGGTTCTGAGTTGTCTTTCTGCATGCCATGCTAGTAGACTTTTTCTCAGAAACACTAGTTTTATAACCTAGCCCCTAGGTAAATTTGTTTATGGTCATATTGGTATAGCTGTGAGTGGCTTCAGCGACAGTATTCTTGCTCTATTGTTGCCATCAGCTCCTCTTCAGAGCAGTCATAGGATATCTTGGCCTGTCTCTCTGGCTTCTTGAGAGGCAACCTGCAGATTTATGGGAGAAAGCAATAATCAGGACCAAAAATAATAAAACAAGTTAAAATGAGGCCTAATTTAGCTAGCAACATGTTATATTCCCATTTCTCCTTTAATTAGCTTGTGTACCTAATTCTCACAATGTTTTTGAACAGGTTGACATCATTTAATTTTAAACTAAATGGAATTCATTACATGGAAGAACAACAGGATTTGAAAGGGGCCATGAAAGGAGAAATGGGTGCCAGTTCTAGGGCAGTGGTGGCAAATCTTTTGGGTTCAATTGTGTCAAAAATTCTGAAAATGCCTAACTTGACTTTGCTGACATGTTGCTGCTTGTATCGCTGAACAAAAGAAAAACAATTTTCTATATCCCCCCTGCCCCATCTAGGCCACTCTGAGCAGTAACATTCAATGGAAGGGCCACATTGGGTCTGAAGTAGACCAACGGCACCATTGCCACTCAAAAAGGCTGCATCATGCCATTCCCCAAGGCACGTGAATCTTGGGCAACAGTGTGATTACCCCCATAGCCCAACATTCCCCAGGATCTGCTGCATGCTGCTTACCTTCAAGCAGTAGTCTCTTTCTACTGACAGGCCTGAGGCCTACCTGGGTTATATGTTCTTGAAGTGGCTTTGGAGAATTCTCTTCCATGCCCTTTGCAGCCTCCAAAAGTGCAAAAGCATATCTTATTTTTGCACTATTTCTGGAGAGTCTAGATCTAGATACTGTGTGAGAGTACATACCTTTGGTGCATCGCCTCCATTGGCTCAGAAAATTGTGAGAGAATGGGGCATGCTTTTAGGAATAGTTGTCGGGTGTTGGTGAATGCTGGAGTATCACCCGAAACATTGTGGCATGTCACATTTGACACTTATGTCATAGGTTTGCCATCACTTGCCTAGGTCAAAATCTCTGACTTTTTCTAGCTAAGGAGTATCCTTGGAAAGTTGAGGGGCACATTGTAAAAATTGCTCAATTTAGTCTTTCCTATATAAGTATCCATTTTTTTTTAAAAAAAATACAGCTTTGTTTTTATTCCGGAATCTATTACACATCCCTTCCCTAGTACACAAAGCACTACAGCCAGCAATGATATGTACACCATGATGGAGACAGGGACCCAGTTGGTAAGAAGACCAAGACAAAAGCAGAATAATTACTCTGGAAGAATAAAAAGATTGAAATGTCATGGTACGTTGGAAAACCTTCTTTAAACTGATTATAATTAGAATCTCCATAAATGGAAGAAGAAATGTACCAATAATGTTCAGGAAACTATTTTAAAATGTTTCCTTCTTGAATGAAAAGAAAAAGAATGCTAAATGAAATCTAAACTATAGCAATAAAGATTTATAATCAAATGGATGGCCAATGCATGTGATCTTTGTCAACCATTCTATATCTAAATTAAGAAAATAATGTTGTGATTAAATTCAGCCCCTCCATCAGTTTTCTTCCATAAGCATATGGATGGTCTGAGAGATATAATAAGAAAAGCAACAATTTAATCTTGTTAAGCTGCCATTGAAAGAAAAAAAACTTCTTGCTACAATATTTTCTACAGAAATGCTGGTAGAAAAATGTGAAGAAAATTATTACTGAACCATGTTGAGCAACTGATGAAAGCACAGGAATGAAAGCTCTTCTTCATTTCTGCAAAGGAGCACACTGATGTTGTCTCCACTCCCGGTTATTTGATTCACGATAACTTACTGATTGGCAAAGTTATTGCTCCCTGGTGTAGATCTTGTTAAGAAACCCTGAAAAACACATGAACATAATAACACTTAGATAGCCTATGACAAAGAAATACAGATTTACTCCTTCTAGTAAATCTCATAATGATATAGATCTCTGAAAGCAAAAGTAATTTTTGACAAAGAAGATGAGTAACTCTGATATTCCCCTATGTAAGCATTCTGATTGTTGGGCTTAGAAAAGTTGATGACTGTATACTGTATACAATGGATATTATATTTATCTTTTCTAGTTCTAAGACAAGATAATGAGCAGGGGATTCACACAGACATAAGCTAGAAGAATACTGTTGAGTTGAAGAACATGCATCATTACCTTACCAATAAAAATCCTAAAATCCTATGAAAATATTAGCAGGAGAGTAAGTATGATGGGAGGATGGCAACATACACATATTCATGTGTGCACTCATGCTAAGAGTCTGAGAGAGAGATGCCATCTCTGTTCTCCTTACCAGTTTCCACAACAAGGTAAATACATGCTTGTGCAAGTGGACAAGGGGCCTTTAAGGACAATGAAAAATACCTCATCTTTTAAACTATATTTGAGAGAGAGTACCACATCTTAAACTCAAATACTCTGATCACTTAATGAGAAGGAAGGACTCACTGGAGAAGAACCTAATGCTGGGAAAGACTGAGGGCAAAAGAAGAACAGGACGACAGAGAATGAGGTGGCTGGATGGAGTCACTGAAGCAGTAGGCGTGAGGTTAAATGGACTCCAGAAGATGGCAGAGGACAGGAAGGCCTGGAGGAACATTGTCCATGGGGTCACGATGGATCGGACACGACTTCGCAACTAACAACAACAATCACATCTTAGGACTGGATTTTGGGCACCCTGAACTGAACTGTGTAACATCTCTTTAAGTCCAGTCAATCATTCAGTTTCTCCTCTTTCCTGTACGCCAGGAAGATCTCTACTATCTGTATTTGAAAATCTTGCAAGTACAGAACCTGTTATTAAACAAGTAACAATTCTAACACATAAATGGAAAAGCTGAATAACAAAATAAACTCCATGTGGTCTGTGTCACTGCTTTCTTAGAAAATGTCCTATTTTCTGCTGGTATATAGAGCTACATTTCAGCCCATATTGCCATGTGCACAGTCTATTTGTTCACCTGGAATTTAAAGTGGCACCTTAGTATGCAAGCAATCTCCTATTCTCATGTCCAGTACATAATAAAAAGTAGTCCTTGAATTATGACAACAATTGGGACAGGGAAATTCATTGTTAAGTGGCAATTTATTACCACACTTAATTTTATGACCTTTTTGCTATGGCTGTTAAATAAGACATTATGTGACTGAGATTTGAGACCTTCTCTGCCAACTTCCCCACTGACTTTGCTTGTCAAAAACTGACTGAGAAAGTCACAAATTATGATCAGCTGACTGCAGGATGCTGCAACCATCAAAAATGTGAGGTAGTTGCCGAATCACAATCATGTGATCATGAGGATGATTTGCAGGTCACTTTTTTCAGTACCACCATAAGTTCTCACTAGTGTTAAACAATCGTAAGTTAAGGACTACTTGTAAATCCCTTTGTGCCTTACATTAGAAATTTTTCTCCTCCCTCAATCAATGTGGTTCTACTCCTCCAAGGTGCATAAAATCTATAGCATATTGTCACCTACTATTATTACCATGGAGACAAGGTATGCATGTAACTAGAGCACAGCTCAGGAGTTTCAAACTACAGGCTCACCTCCTTCCCTCTGATCACTAACTGGTATCCACCACCACCCACCCACCCCTTGGGATTGAGTCACAGGATCTTTTCCTGGGGGGGGGGGTCATCTTTCTTGGTTTTCAGCCGGAAAAAAAAACAAAAAACAGAAGTCCGTAGAAAAGAGAAGATCTGCTTCTCAGAATAATCACTTTCCCTAGTGCTGCAATAGATGAGGCTAGCAGTGGCCAATTTTAGATACTTAGCAATCCAGAAGTCAAGTTGGCCTAAAGTTATCTTCAGCACATAACGTAAATACCAGACTCTGGTTCACAGGCTATTTCTGCCATAGGATGTCCCTAAGCATGTTTAATTATATCTGTCTGACCTGGAATCTGTTTTGGAGTCGGTCAGTTACTTTAAAAGCCAGGTCAAATTATATTTAATTCATTTACATTTTAAAAAATGGCTACACACACAGATTAATGATTGGGTGCCATCTCCTTATGTCTTCCTTTCATCCTCCTTTAGCCCATCAAGTGTTCAAATGGTGAGTAGAAGGAAGAACCAAGGAATCAGTACAGAGAAGCCAAGAGAAAGGTTCATCCTTGGAATCTGACCTACTCTTTGGACCAAATTACACCCAATATGAGAATAGATATTAATATTTGTACCTCAGGGTTGACATGAGGGGTCCTTGGTGCTCTCTGAGCTTGTTTTCTTGCAGATGTTTCATTACCCAAACTAGGTAACGTTACTGCCAGCAGAATAGTTATCCTGCTGGATGGTGATGTGCAAAGAGCTGGCTGGGTGAGTAGGTAGGAAGAACCAACTAACAGAGCTGTGAAAACTGGTCCATTTGCAAATACAAGGCAAGGAATTGGAACGATTGACAGAGGCATAGGATAGGCCCCTATGTAACAATACTCAGTTTTAGCCAACTTTGTATATAGGACTTTAAATATATCCTGCAGTAGGAATGTAGCCTCCTAGTAACACTGAGGCATTGCTTGCGTTTCCCCTACCCCAGAAATTTTAAGGAAACCATTCCTGGAGTACAGTATCAGGTTCATACAAGAAATTCAGATTTTTGTAATACGTATGGGACCAAGTACTGATTAAGAAGGCAGCCACAAGAGGGCACTGCTTTATAAAGACTTTGCTAAAAGAAAACAAAGATTCATCCCACCAACAAAAATCTGGAACTAAATTAAGCATATTAGTTTGGTTTTCTAAATCCAAATGTCATTTTCACCATTTGGTTGATTAATAAAGGCCTCAAAGAAGTCCTTTGACACAGGAATATCTCCCCTAAAAAAGCATGGCATTTTTGCATTAATTACATCCCAAAGGCAAACACAGATTTATAAATAGTTAATAAGCTCTCAGTGATGAGTCAGAATTGTTTCTAACTGACTAGGTTCTTTTCTCCTTTTGCTTTCAGGACACCAAATGTTCCCAAATGACAAATATGAATAACTGTAGATATGCAGGATATTAAATTACTTCCATATTGTTGCCATGAGAACAACATAGATATAGTCATGTAGTTCCCAAGAGTCTAGCTTGGCTTGAATGAGTCTTTCTTTGTTACACATAAAGAAAGTCCCAGGAGTTAAACTGTTCTAATTAAATAATTAGCTTTTTGAACCAATTTCGATCTGGTCTAGGGAGCAAAAATTGCTTATGCATGCAAGATGAGTGACAGTAAATTAAGCTGTACAGGACTTAGGGTAGAATTCATGCTTTACAATATACACCGCTATTGCATGGTATCCTTGTAGTGTCTCACAGCTTCAATATCCAATGGAAATTTCCATCAGCAAGAGATGATTTCCCTTCCTGCCTACAACCCATTCAGAAGCTCCTTCAGAAGACAAGGAATTATGATTTTGCCAACATTATATTGTACCAACTTGTCAACTCAGAACCCACAACAACATATTAGTGAGAACTATGCAATCTACTACAAAATCCCTATTCTGTGGATGGAAACTTTCACTCCTGAATGAAGCTTCTACTAATCTGAGTCAACAGGTGCCATGAACTTAATGCTGTTCTAGTGATGCTGCTTTCCTAAAGCAAAGCTGTATGAAGTTGGGAGCTGTAGCTCCAAGCAATATTTGGAATCCTGGCTTAATAGTACAGCCTCATCTGAGAGATGATCCAATTGAGAATCAAGCAAACTTGAAATTGGAATAAACAAGAAACTCAGAGCAATAGTTTGAGCCAATCTGGGGCCAAATTGTGTCTCAGATGAGAAATGTTTTTTGCATCACACACAGACTTTCTAATTTGCAATTGTTTTATTTGTAGCCCATTTCAATAGTTTAATACACATTTTATCTACAATGATTTACATTCATGGATGTTTCCCCAAATTAAAAAAAAATATAGTGGCCACAGATAATTGGCTTGCCACTTCCTGTGTTTCAAGACTATTTTAGATCAAAAGGCTTGGACATAATATAACAACCAGATTTTGTGTTTTATTTATATTTTTATTTTATTTGAGGAATTAAACATAGCACAGGTCATTCCTTTCATCTATGTTATGCTCACAGTAAATCTCAGTGGGTGGCTAGATTAGTCTTCCTCAATCTGTGTTAGCAAATTTCAATTTCCATCAGCTTCAAATGGTGTGACTATATTCAAGAATACTGTAGCAGAGTTGACGTTTGAAATATCTCAAAGAACTATCAGGTTTAGCTGCTGATCTCAAAAACTTAAGTGGGGTCAGACTTGGTTAGAAACTACTACAAAAGTGGCTAGCGGCTTGGAAAAATATCCTAGATATTTTTTAAAATAACCTAGGTAACAGCAAACCATTTTGGTATTGGTGCCAAGAAAACAATTTGGACAGACCCATTAAGTGACTAGGAGTAGAGTATCCCCTCAGGAATATTGTTTTAATTAAATATGGGGAAGCTAGCTAAGAGTTCAACGACACCAGTTGTGAGTTTGCTGGCTATATGGTACAGGTAGTCCTCAACTTACAACAGTTCATTTAGTGACCGTTCAAAGTTACAACTGCACTGAAAAAAAGTGACTTATGACCATTTTTCACAGTTACGACCTTTGCAACACCCCCATGATGAGGTGATCAAAATTCCCACACTTGGCTATTGGTTCATATTTATGACCCTTGCTGCGTCCCAAGGTCACGTGATCCCCGTTGGCCACCTTCTGACAAGCAAAGTCAACGGGTAAGCCAGAGTCACTTAATAACCGGGTTACTAACTAATCAATTGCAGTGGTTCACTTCACAACTGTGGCAAGAAAGGTCGTAAAACGGGGCAAAACACCCTCAACCAATATCTCCCTTAACAACAGAAATGTGGGGCTCAATTGTGGTCGTTAGTCAAGGATTACCTGTACAAATGATGGTCGCCAGATGTTGTGCAACACTTTCCAGCAGCCTAGCCAGCCTAGCCAAGGCAAAAAGATGCTGGGTGTTGCAATTAGCCCAATATATAAAGACTCACATGCATTCCTCCGCTTGGAAGTGCCGGGAAAAGAAAGCCACAACCTCTCGTTTGCGAAGAACCGAAGATCTTCATCTCCTGTTCTTTCCCGCACACATTTTACCCCCGTCCCTTCCCGCCGCTCGGCCGGCACGTTTACCTCCGCCGCTTCCCGCTGCCCCCCGATCTCCTCGCCGCCGCCCTCTGCCGGGCGGGAGTAGCAGTCTCCGGAGCCGCGGCACAGAGGCCGGCGGGGCGCGGCGGTGGGCAGGAGTCGGGGACCGTCTTCCTCGCACTCCTCCAGCACCTGGTCCAGGAGCTCCGAGTCCGAGTCGGGCTGCTCGATCTGCAGCGAGGGGACGAGCGGAGGAGTCCGGCTCACAGCCCTGGCGTACGCCTCCTCCCCGTCGTCCGCCAGGCCCTGCCGAGAGGGGGCGCCGTGACTGGCCCTGCCCGATCCGGGACCCCGCCAGTGGCGCGGCGGGCTGAAGTTGCGCGCCTTGCCCTCCCTGCTGCTGCCGGTGCCCATAGCGCTTTGGCTTCCCGTGCGGTTGCAGCTGCTCGAAGCCGCTTTGCTGCTCCCGATTGCTTTCCAGATGGTTCTGATTCTAAAGGCCAACTGTTGCGGCTTCTTGGCGGGCGGTGGCCCAAGAGGGTGGGATCCATCCTCCCTCGTTCCTTTTTTTCTTGTTTCCCCGCTTGTCCCAAGAACTTTCCTTGGGGTTTAAATCTGTTCGTTGCGGATTCCCCCAAGCCCACCCCAAGATCTCCAGCCGGTTATCCGCTCCCCACCGCAAAGTGCTAAAAGGGAGAGAAAACGTATTTTAAGTTTATTTAATTTTCTTATTCCCTCTCGGTTTTTTTTTTTTTTTTTTTTTTAATCTCAAACATTTGGTTTTGGACAACTCTGCATGGGTGTAACCTCGGAATGAGGCTAATTTCCAAAAGGGAAGGGAATGCCAAAACACTGTACTTCGGCCCTATACTTGGCCTTAATTTAGCTATAGATAGTAATAATAATAATAAAAAAGCAGTAACAAAAGGGGTATCTAAATGATTCAAAATAAATGGGCTTTTGCAATAAATATTGTGGGAAGTTTTAAAAATGAATCCATTCGCAATTTGGTGACGGGATACTGAGGGTATATCTCAAGAGTTCCGAAAATGTTTTCTTTTAGTTAACAGCTCAGGAATCCAGCTAGTTTGTGTTTTTAAAAGTTGTTCATTAGCTTAACCACATTTGTCAAAGTGAATTGCACAATGATAGCTAGCCATTGTACGTGTCTCAATTTACAGTCAATAGAGCATTCTTTGGAATAAATGTGCCTGAATAATTCTCTCCCCTTGACTGCCTCTTGCTTTTTTTTATTTTAATGGCAGGGCTTAGATGTGGAGCAAAGAACAACAAAAAGAAAATACATTTTAAGCATGAGAAGATTGTTATTACAGGCAAAGAAAACCATAGATCTGGAGGGGGAGGTATGTTTGAGGAATATATAATTGCACGATCATTCTGGTTGCCAAAGATTAACGTTTGCTTCTGGGATTTCTATTTGTTTTACTGTTATTCACTTTTAATATAGTTGAGAATTTCCAGAACAGCTTTGTCAAATTGCAGGATTTTTTTCTGGGGAGAAAATAAAGAATAAAGGCTAGATTAGCATCGGAAAAGCACTGCTGTTGGAAAAAGAGCTGGAAAACAGAAGCACCAAGGGGATTTGGACAGATTTTTACCAGCTGTGTAATAACACTGTTTTTCTGGTTTTTAAGAACCTGGTTGGTTAAAAATAGATCTTTTTTCTCCGAAATGAGTTTGGCAACTGTACATTTTCCATTCTTTTCTTCGTACTTAGAAAATCTGAGAAGGGAGACTAGAGTGCATAGTCTTGGTCCCAATAAAATGGACTTTCTTTATATAGGTAGTCCTCGAGATACAACCATAACGGAGCCTTCCATGTCACAACAACCATTAGGTGAAGTGTCTCACCTAATGACTCCCCATCACTGCTTTTCCCATTAATTGTTAATGACACTTGTGGGTCATTAAAATGGAGTGTGGGATGCCTTACGGGTGGGAGAGGCCCTTGGAGGCCTTGAACAGCCTAGGCACGCCTTCCCTGGCCCTCCCAAAGTCTCCTCCACTCCTGAAGACACCCTGTGTTCTGGTTCCTGCCCATGGGGTCTCCACAGGCCTTTTCCCACTTCCAGTGGGTTCCCCTTAGGGCTAATTCCTACCCCACCAGGCCAAACACCCTCCTCCTCACTTATTTTTGAAGTCCTCCAAGGCCTTCCAGAGTGCTGGAATGGATTGCCTCTTTGGGTGGCCACATGGCATGAGTCTGGAAGTGGCGGCTGTATTTAGGTTGCCTCTGTGCAGCTGTGGGACAAACTGCTTTGTTTTGCTGCCTTAACAAGGTCTGCACAGTATTGACAAAGCTTTCTGCAGCATGCAGAAGCTTTTGCACCCCTGTGCAGACTTCGTTAAGGCAGCAAAATTAAGCAGTTTGACTGGTGGCTGCCATTTTGTCCCATAAGCAGGTGAGACAAAATGGCTACGTTCCAGTCACCACTGCATGGCCCAGTTAGGATAAAAGGGCAGTTACTAAATGTATTAAAATCTAGATATTCTTGGACAATGTATAGCTAGGTGTGCCAGACATAACTGAATCAGTGTGCAGCTTTCAAGCTCATGTTGGACAACCATCTGGAATGGTATAGGGTCTCCTCCAAGGTCCCTTCTAACCCTGTTAGTATAATTGATTGCAAAGGCTTGGGGTTGGGGAGAATCTATATACTACTACCGGTAGTTTACTAGATTTGATGGCTCTCCAAAAAGTTTACAGTAGCTAGAGCGATGAAGATTATGATGATGCTATGTCAACGATGCAGCAAGTGGGGTGGTGATAATATGTGCATCAGGACATGTTGTGCAATTGATACAAAATATGTAATTGAGCTCTGGTGGTACAGTGGTTAGAATGCAGTATTGCAGGCTAATTCTGCCGACTGCCAGCAGTTTGATTCTCACCATCTGTTGTGGTCCGCCAGCAGAACTGGCAGCAGATTCGGACACCGAGGGGGTTGGGGAGGAATGTGGACCAGTCCTGGAGTCTGGGGAAGGCTCGGACAATGGCTCTGAGTCAGAGGTAGAGAGGCGGCCAAGGCCATCTGGTAGTTCTTTGCTGCCTCGGGAGTCTGACATTAGCGAGGCAGAAGAACAGCATGAGCCTGTTCCCAGTGCGTGCATGCGCAGAGCTGCCAGGAGACAGGAACAATTAAGAAAACAGGGTCGACTTGGGAGTAAGACTTGGAGATAATTGGCCCCTCCCATAAGACATAAAAGAGAAGTGAACAGAACATGAGCTTTTGCAGGAAGCAATTAGTTCATCTGGCCGATTCAAGATGTGAAAATGCTGTTTGTGACTCTATGCCAAGTTTGGCCTTGCCCTGTGTCTGGAAATTAGCTCTGGCAGCATTCCACGTGAGATAGGTGGGTGTTGATAACCTTCCTCTGAAAGACTGTTTATCAAGCCTTGCAGACTGTAAATGAAAGTAATTTACAGTCGTATAAATAAAAGAGGTTTGCCGGGACTAAGTTTGTGCTGCTTAATTTCTAAGGAAGCCTAGGTCAGAACAGCGTCTGAAGGTTGACTCAGCCTACCATCCTTCTGAGGTCAATAAAATGAGGACTCAGATTGTTGGGGGCAATATATGCCTGACTTTGTAAACCGCTTAGAGAGCTATAAAGCACCATGAAGCGGTATATGTCTAAGTGCTATTGCTACTTGTGTCAGGTCATGAAGTAAAATGATGAAAGTATATAATTTGTGAAATTTGTATTATAATGTCATAACAAACCCAATGTTTTTTGCTGGCATCTTATCTATCAGGTATGTATATTTTGTTATTAGTTCAGCAGAATCTGGAAAGCCACTACTTTTTTCACTGCAACAGTACAAACTTGTCATCTAGTAACTGTAGAACTGAGATTAATTACTTAGTTTGCAATTAGAAGAGAATGAACTACAATGCTGATTAAAATCTCCAAACGTTATCAGTCAGATCAATGAAAATTGCATGGAAATATTTATTTCCATGTTTCCATTCATGCATTTCCCATCATTAATCATGTGCAAATGTGTTCTTGAGGCTATGAATCTTGGCCTTCTTGTTGATCTTAATACATTTTATTTTTTGGCTGGTAGAATAAACTTATTTCATGGTGATTGCTCAAGCATCTCAGGGATTCAGAGGGTAATTCCCTTTGTACGATACATTCCTCTCTGAATAGCACACTACCCAGACATTAGCAGCAAAACACTCCAGCCTTTTTTTTTTTTTTTTGTGCTACAGAAAGGCTGCAAAATCTGCTTCATCTTTTTCATCAGTGCCAAGTTAAAGCAGCAACTTGTTCTCTCTGGAATGGATCCAGAATCTCAAAATTCAGGAATGAATGACTAACCCCTTTCTTATTAGAGTTCACATACTGTCTTGCAAATTATTAGCAAAGCCAAAATCAACAGACACCTTGGGTTGTCTTTAAATCAGAAAACAAAACAAAAAATGGGAAATTGACATGTTTTCTCTCCTTCAAAATAAATAGCAGTTATTCCCCTGGAGACTGTATTCCTCAACAGTCTTTAGTGGGGGTGCAAATGTTGGTGGTTATTCCAGTCAATTCACATATTGAATCCTTATTAGCAAATAGAGGTATTTAAGTATATTGCTGTTTAACGAAGGTAACAAACAAGAAAAAGAGAAAAACAGGCATGGCATGTGGAACAACTTTGTCTAATGTGTAGAAAGCTATATGATTAAAAGTATCACATTTGCATCTTGTTAAAGCTTTTCCTTGTTGAAAATGGGAGTATTCCTTTTAGATCCAAGAGGAGGGTGGGAGGGAGAGAGAGAGAGAGAGCTTCAGATATAGCTTAACACAACTGAAGGAGACTTGATGGATCAGAAATTCAATAAATAGGCAGCTAAATAAAACTACATCGGCACTGGTTCTTTGGAGTATCAGAGTACAGCAAAGCATTCTGAAGATTATATGAATGAATATTATTCACTATGACAGTTACACTTTTCTTAAATTATTTAGAAAGAATTGTATTTACGGTATCTAATTGGACTCATTGCCCTTGTTCTTTCTTGTGGCCGGAAACTACACAAAGCTGTGTGTTTACACTATTAAATGTAAACAAAACGTTACAGAAATAATCGCTCCAGCAGACATTTAAGACCGTTACGATCCTCCTTTGTCAAATTCGGTATGTCAAAATAACAATATCCGCTGCTGAGGTTGTTACAGATATTTATGTATGTATTAAATGATATACATTAACTGAATTGGATTTACAGTTGTAAGCACCAGGAATACATGTCACGGTTCAGTGGCTCTGGCTCAAAAAGCACTATTTGTAACCAGTAGCTTCAAACTTTCTTTGACC